GTGCCGAGCCGCGGCGGGGACCCCTTGCTCCCGGCCCGGAGCGGGAGGCGCCGCCTGGCCGTCGGAATGAATGGCGCATTCGCAGAGCTGTGCCTTGCGCGCCCGTTCTGCAAGCCCGTGCCGGGCACCCCGTGCCCTCGTCAGCGTGGCAGTCGTGGCGTCTGCTCCCGCAGCCCCCGCGCGGGTGGGTGCGCCTCTCCTTCCTGGAGCAGGGCTGCTTTAACTCCGCAAGTGCACGTTGGCCGCGGCAGCATCTCCGCAGAAGTAGGGACGTGGAACGATTGCGGGTCCCCAATGGGACCCGCGTCAGTCCAGGCCCCAAGTCGCAGCGTAGAGGAAAGAAGTGTGCACCGGGCATCCAGAGACCTGACCCTGTGACCTCACTCGGTGACCTTGAGCAAGTCACTGAAGCTCGCTGGGTCCGCTTCCCCACCTGTAAATACAGTTCATTATACCTGCCCTGCATCCCCTTACGCGCCATTGTGACGGTCAGACTTAATAATAGTTGTGAAAGCTTTGTATTTCTCTATAAATAGGAGGCATATGATTAGTTTCTTCAGCCATGAAATGAGGAGCTTGCGTGAGAAAGTCTCAGGGAGCCCTTTCTTTCTAGCCCCGAATTTGAGAATTGCACAGCTGGAATTTCTCCCTAAACCTGGTAATTTCTTTTTGGGTTCTGTAGCTCTCTAACAAACGTGTGAATACTGGGAAGCTGATTAAAAGTTACTTTATTCTAAGTGTTGTGCAAATCTGAACTCATCTAACCCTCTAATGAATGTGTGAGGTACATAATAGGACTTATCAGTTACAGTATTTCCATGTGAAGAGATGTCAGTGTGTAAACATTGAGTAGCTACTTTGTGTAGTGTGCTCCTTCATAGTCCATATTAGAGCTGCTAATAGGAGGCTGTTCATCCACGTTTGCTTAGATAGTAAACTGGCGGATCCTAGGTCTGCTCCCTACTCCACAGATAATTTGCGAGGAAAAAAATCAGCAAGGGTGAGCGTGGTGGCACATGGCTGTAATACCAGCACTCAGGAGGCTGAGCCAGGAGGATTGCTCAGAGTTCAAGGCTAGCTTGGCCTACATAGTAAGACCCTGTCTTAAAAAAAAAAAAGTCAAAGAGATTTTATGACTTTTTTTTTTTCAGTTGTAAGGTTTGGAGCTTCTGTCTGAGCCTTAGCATAAACTTGTTTTAAAATTTATCTTTTAGTTATTTTGAAGACAGATGGGTCTGGTAATCAAGGCTAAAGTTGGGGCTTAGGGAACTGTCTTCTAAATACACAAATACCTTAGTCTGGCCGCTTGGTTATTGGTTGGCTAATTGTATGAATGGGCCTCTGCTTAATGACAGGTGGGAATATTTATCAGGTGTGCTGTGTGCCAGATAACACATTACTGGGGACCTGTTGGATTTTTAAAATTACAGCATTGTTAGAGCATTGTCTAACAATGGACAAGTTTTTTCTGTGAGGGGCTTTTCCTATACAGTCTGCTTCTTGGTTTTTTTGTTTGTTTGTTTTTGTTTTTGTTTATTTTTTGAGAGAGGGCCTGTCTCACCATGTACTCCAGACTAGATTTGAACTCACTTTGTATCCCAGGCTAGACTCAAACTAGTGGCAATGGCCGGGTGTGGTAGCACATACCTGTAATCTCAGTACTCTTGAGTCTGAGCAGGAGGAGTGCTGTGAGTTCGAGGTCATCCTGGGCTACATAGTGAGAACCTGTCTCAAAAATCCAAAACTGCTTGTATTCTTGACCCTCTTTGAATCTGCAAGGGCACACATAACCTTTTACTTCAGCAACAGGCAGCCAGCTGGTACGCTGTTCATTAGCAGAAGTCAGGGAAGGTGTTAGGACTCGGAAGGCAAGATGGTTCTAGAGACAAAAACTGGAATAGCGATTTTTAAGGAAGAAGAAAGTCATTAGAAGTGTCAGTAAACACAAGGGTCCTCCCCTTGCAGAGGGTTATAGAGAAGGAAGTTCTGGGGTAGATTACAAGGAAAGATGTATTAGTGATATACCACAATTATAGATTCAACATTGCACTTAAATCTGAAAAGTGCCCTTTTGAGAAATGTCAATCAGAGCTTAAAGGCAGATTTTGATTTGTGATATACATCAACTTCTCTTGTAGTAAAAGGCAAGAGAGACTGCTCAATTTCTTTTAATTCTCTCTCACTCTCTCTCTTTAGTGCCCACTAGAATAACAGTTTTATCCCAGCAATTTAGTGGGATTTCCATTTTATAAATTTTTCTAACAGTATATATATTTTAAGAGCAATAGCTAGGTCTCTGGAATACAACATTTCTAGGAATTAACATTTTGGTTAAAATACTTTTGTTGATTTTTTCAGCAATGCTGGGGATCTGTTGAATTCTTAAAGTTACAGTATTATTGAGATAATCATATACTGTAAATTCACCAGTTTAAACTACTATATGTGGTTCACTAGTTTCATATATTAACAAAAGTTGCATGTTGATTTTTTTTTAGGCACACCTACCTATAAAATGGAAGGCAGCTGTGATATCTTTTTGCTTCTGATTTTGAAAACATTTGTGAGTCTTGACTTGCCAGTGGCTATCTGTATCATAAGGTCACCTAAAGGTGCTTTCAGCAGCTACAGAGGACTAGGCATTTGTGGGGCAAGTTGTCCGTAGCCCCGGGTGGGCCCCATAGCAGTGTAGTGGGTGGTGCTAGTCCTGCGCACATAATGCCCCTGGACACCATGGATAGCATCAAGAGGCCAAAGAATGGCCAGGATCCCCTGCAGCTGTTTAACTACTGGTCCTTATGCTAAAGGTGTGCAAAAACAATCCAAAGCCCCAAATCCATGTTAACTTTGCTAGATAAAAACAGCTGTTTAGGCTAGTATGTTGGGTATTTATAACCTTCCTTTCCCACCATATTTTCTTAAACCTACTGAAGCTATGGCCTAGATTTTTTTTCCTAGCATAGTTCCAGTTTTATATTCTATGCTGTTGTCCCTTTAAGCTATCATTCCTGAAAATTCTAATAGTCTTGTGTTGAAACTTCATTATCTCTGATCACACACTGTGATTTGGAGTTTGGCATGCATGTTTGTTGTCCTCATTTGTGTGTCCTCCTGATATCCCCAGGCTTGATAGCACTCTGCTGTTCTGCTGGTTCCTCAGGTTGGAAACCTCTGTGTCCTCTCACATTCGACTTTTGTACCAGTTCTAACTTCACGTGACATCAGTGGACTTTTCAGACTCTGAGTACCAGCACTGCCCCTTGTGTTGAGATGTCCTGTCCCCATCTCTCTTCTGTCATAGTTACTATGTATGTGTTTACCTCCCATGCTACTGCTGGTGGTCACCGAATATCTACTGAATGAGTGAATTAATACGTAAACAGAGGAGGTACATATTGAAATTCAGGAGTCAGCATGATTAGTCTGCTTATAGGAATGAAGCAGGGTTTGAAGAAGTGGTTAAACAAGTGAACAC